GCTTTAGAGTTCGTGCATAATTTCAGTGAGTCAAAAAAACAGTTCAGATAGGCCCTAAAAACAATGAAATTTGGCTTTTGTTTTGCAGCTTTGCTGGCATGAATGTGGAACTTAGCCAGTAGTATGAGAAAGTTCGTGAGAAATTTTATCCCGGAGATTTTAAAATCAAAGACACCAAATAACGGATACTTTTATTTATTTATTTTTTATAAAAAAGATAATACAATACTGCATTTCCCGTTGGGTCTTCTTGGCTGCCGTGACGTCATCATTTCGCGTCAACTGCATATCTCGTGTTCTTGTGCAAGCTGAGGTGCAGCAGGCAAAAGGAGATAAATAAAAACATTGAAAATGGCTATGATAGGGAGGTTTCCGATCATAAGAACCCTCGAGTATCTCGAGAAGGGTGACATCGTTTTTAAAAGCAGGGTGAAGATCATGTCGGTGAATTACAACACAATAGGAGAGCTCAGCGACGGCGCAAGGTCAGCGAGACCCAAAATTAAAGTTTAACGAAATTCACATAATACTAAAGAATAACACTCAGCACGTAAAACTGGCTCACAGATTGCGGAGTGTTTAAAGTTGTTGATTTTAAGAGCTCCTGAGTGCACAATTTCTGATGTAAAAGTTAATGCAATGCTAACATGCTAAACAGAGCTAACGTGCACGCACCGACTTTGCTCTCCAAAACTAGTCTGTGTGAACTGTTTTTTTTCTCTCATCAATTTTCTTGTGTGCTTTGCAGGAAGTTTGTGCTCTTCAAAATTCCCCAGATTCAGTTTAAAAACCCGTGGGTCCAAATAGTGATGTTCAGAAACATGACACCGTCGCCTTTCTTAAGGTTCTTCCTGGGTGTGTAGACTACCTGGCCTGTTCTGATTTTTTGAAATTTAAGTTTTATTTATTTTTTATTTTTTATGAGATTTAAGTTGACTGCCTCTCTGTCCAGATGAGGGAGAACAAGTGTTGGTGGATGTGGAGGGGAAGGACTACAAGCAAATCGCACAGCATGTTAAGAAGATTTTGGGCAAACCAGAGTAAGTTTGTGGAGATAATGCTTCATTAAGTAACATTTTTTGATTAATTTACTGTTAGTGGGGTTTGTAGTGCTTTAATAATGTAAAAAAAAAAACTAGATAAACTTTTAGACTAATATTTTAAGTAGTTTCTTGGCAACAGAGCATCAAGTTTAAATAGCATTTTCTCTCCTAAAATTAAAGGTAATAAAACATAATGTTTAATGTAGGTAAAGTGCTTACTAGCGTCGGAGAATAGTCCTGTTTAAGTGCTCGACTTGGGTCCTGTTAAGATCTTGAACTGACATCCGTGTCGGATGCTTTTCCTGCAAGAAGTTGGCTCTGAGTGTTTTTCGTGTGATTGAAATTATTCTCGTTTAGTGCTAAATCCAAATGATATCCAATAACGGACTTCAGTGCCATGTGTGCACAGGGTCATAGGGATGATACAGTGGGGGAAAAAAAGGGGTCTGAAGCTCCTGAATAGAATCTAGGTTTTATGAACTGCTGTTTATAAGTTAAATATCAAGGCAGTCTTCTGATGTATTTGTTTTATTACTTCTGTAAACAGACACGTCTTACAAGAAGAGGCTCAGGCCAAGTTGCAGACCTCCAATCCAGCCAACTTTGGCATAAAGAAGTACTGTTTGAGGGAGTGCATCTGCGAGGTGGAAGGCCAGGTGCCGTGTCCTGGGACTGTACCGCTGCCAAAAGAGATGACGGGCAAATATCGGGCCAAGATGGCCGAGTCACAGGAGGATTAAGTGGTTGACTTTAGTTGTCTCGTTGGACAATATCTTGGCTGTTTTATCTTGGGTTTTTAAGGATGTTAATGGACAGACTGGCACTTGACCAAACACAGCAAGAACCCACCAAGACATGACCTGTCTGTGCTGATGTTCATACATACTTTTGATTTCCTGGATGCCGTTAATATTAAACTAAAACCCATGTTTGTTGACGTGTCGCCACTGAAAACCCATGGGATCTAAAAACAATCACACTTCATCAGAAATCTTGGTTTCTTGTCTCTGTGGATGAAAGTTGATTTGGATTCAACCCATAAAATCAAGCTCTGACTGACTTATCCCCCC